CGTTCTGTTCCCTTCCCTCAGATGTATCATCTAGTCCACTCTCAACATTAGTACCTGTGGAGAGAACATGAAAACGGTTACTTACCTGTATCTACGTTGCTGGTACATGGACGCTCCCCTTTCTTCTTCTGGAGGTGACATGCTGCCAAATTTCTTCACTGTCCTCTTGTCCCCACTGCGCAGCCTGCTCTCAATCTTCAGAACATTGTGCCAGTAGAAGCATATCCTGACGTCTGTCCAGGAAATCTTCAGTTTCTCTTATGCAACGCAGGGTCGATACTTGTTTCTCCAGACCTTGAACCTTCTCTTCCAATATAGAGACCAGCTTGCACTTTGTACAGACAAAGTCGGTTCTGTCCTGTGGAAGAAAGACAAACATGGCACAGCCAGTGCAGGTCACAACAGCTGAACACTCCCCATCCAAATTACCTTCCTTCTACGAGCTTCTTCAGGAGTTGTAGTAACTACTCAGAGAAGCCGGCAAGATGTAAGCCTCAGTGGGCTCTCCCCGGGTGAACTTCCTCTGTTAGCCTCTCTGCTGTTTGCTGCTCACTGGCTTTTTATAACAGTCAGGCCCCCTCAAGGCTCACCTGGAACAAAGCACTCCCAATTCATACTTTTCAAACAACCAATCAAGCACACAGTCAAACTGTCCCCACAACAGACACTCACCAACACAGCCTCCCTAATGCAGCCCTTAGCGTACCTCCTGTCAGACAGATCCCAGGCAAACTCCCTCTGTTAGCCTCTCTGCTGTTCACTGCTATAAGATGCTTTATACTAGCCTGAAACCAGAGCTTGGGGCCTCAGTACTGGAAATGGGTAAGCACTGAAAATTAAAAATGTGCTGGGCTCTCATATGCTGGATTTGTATGAGGAGTGATTTGTACACTAATCACTTGCAATGTGGCAGGAAGAGAAGCCTGTGGTGGGGCCAGATACCCCAGCCAACCGGATATACCCTGCCAGCTGAGGGAAGTACTGGAGGGTTCCTCTGAAGCTGCTTTTGCTTTTCTGAGGGGGAGAGGGGATCCCTGAGCAGCTTCCAAGGGAAAGCAGGGTCCCCTGCTGATACCTCTGCTTGTCATGAGGAGGGAAGCCCCAGCCTGCCAAGGAGGATGGGTGACAGCCCCTTTCAGCAGATAACACTAGTGTGGATAGCCCTGGGAAGTCAGGGCCACAGGATATGGATAGAGCCACGGTCCAGGGTTGGGAACAAGGCAGGAAGGGTAAATGTCATGGTGTGTCTACTTCCCTGGATTGCCCTGATCTCGTCCTGCCTGCTGCATCTGTCAGGGAAATTACCAGACCTTCAGCAGCCTACCCCATACTCAGTATTGACAGCTCTTGCAATTTTTTTGTGAGTCACAGGGATTTCGGTTGGGGCTGAAGCCTGTCTGGTGATGACAGGAGAAACTCCATCTCTACAATTAATTTGAGTTCTGCCATGGGGAAATCCCCCTGTGATTGGTTGCTCTGCCCCAGAAGGCCAACAAGTGGAGCAGTCAGCCAATCAGAGCTGCTTAGGAAGAGCTGTCTCCACTCCCAGCCCCTCCCTGCAGTAACTGGAAGCCATTCTCGTAGGAGCAGGGGGAGCAGAAAGAACGCAGCAGCTTAGGGCTGTTGGGGTGGAAACTCCCATTTGCCTCCCATTAGGCCTCAACCTCTTGGTTCCCTTCCACAGCCTTCAGGGAGGCAGGAATCTATGCCAAAATAAATGCTGAACTCAGATATATACCAGTTCCTTTTTCTGGGCAGGAACAAAACCACAATTAGTAAGAGGGACCATTAACAGAGCCCTGTGAGAAAAATCACCCTATAATCCCAGCAGTAACACAATAATTTTATTAAGATAATGTTGAAGTAAAAAAGAAAACGGTACAGAGTTTAGGCATTGAAGTTTCTGGTTATCAGAGAATAAGGTACAGATTATCAAGTGGTGCGAAATTCAGTTTAAGAGCGGGTGGCATAAGGAATACATAATCTACAATCTCCCCAATTGGGGGTAAAAGTTTAACGGGTCAAAGTACAGACATTGAGCTATGGGGGTATGTTGTCCATATAATGGCTATGTTCAGGTGTGGAGTACAATGAGCGGATACGGTGATGTGGACGGATCTACCCTCATTTGGTGAGATTTAATGTTCAGTGGATTTATGGTTCCAGTTCATATGGTCCAATGGAAAAAGTCTCTCAGTCCCTTTCCCATAGTTGGTTCACGATGACGTACCGGCTCACAGCTCCTGGTACTGTCAGTGGCCGGTGATGTGTTCGATGTAGATGTCCCTGGGCCATCGGATGGTGTCCGAGACCATGAGGTGCTGCATGAGCCGTATGTAGCGTCGACTGATCCCACAGGTCCGCAGCACACGCTCGTTGCAGGGGTCCCAAGCGCCCAGGGCTCCGACGATCAGGGCATCCATCTGCACCTTGTAGCCCTTCCCTCTCAGGGTGTCAGCCAGGGGGGCGTATTTTTCCATCTTACGAGCTCGGGCTTCTTGGAAGGCCGGGGTCCTGTTCTCGAAGGAGACCGTGATGTCGACGAGGATGATCTTTTTCTGGGCCTCATCGGTGACTACCACGTCAGGTCGCAACTGGCTGTCAGTACCGGGAATGGCGCAGTTCACGGCGATCTCCCCCAGGCGTGGTGCGATGGTTTAACAACAAAATAACCCTTGTTTAACTGACACATAACCCAAGTTGTCCTCCAGCCTCAAACCCACTGATTGCTGATGCCTGGGTGCAGTGTGAGCTTAGGATGGTGAGTCCATCACAAACTCATGCCACTAAGAACTGTATGTTATGCTACACCACACTGTCATTTCTCACGTGGTCACACAATTGATCACATGGCAATCACTGCCATTCAGGAGAGAGAAATACTGGCTACAGTGTAACTTGTGATGTTGGACATTTTTGTTTCTCTGTGCAGATATTCTTTTTCCAATTAGGATATTACTACACCTAAAGCTGCATGTAAGCAGAGTCAGGATGCGCTCTACCCTGACATCTGGTAGTGAATTGTGGTGAGTTGTGGAAAAGGACTTCAGGGGCTGATCTCGTTTGCATGGACACACCCACCCTGCCTAGCATGATAGACCGCTGGCCCAAATGGTCACTTTGGCTGCTGTGGGATCCCCAGTTTTTCTGTTATTGGGGCAGGAACAATAAAGTGTTGTTACCCTGATTATGTGAATCAAGGACAGTGGAACTGTTTTATGACAGAGGGACTCGCCATCAACTAAGTAGCACGCTCTAGACAAGGGCATGGGTTCCAAAACGCAGTGAATTGAGGGAGGTTGGGGATAGGCATTTGTAATTGAGGGTATGGGTTCCTTTGAGGCCCTGAAACACCACCATGGAATATCAGAGCTAATTTTGATTTCATTAGGAGCCTAGTTACAGGCTGCAGAGCTGAATTCACTTTGGGCAAATGGTGCAACAGTACCGAGGCTCCCCTACTACAAGCTGAAATCACTGAGTACTGTGTTAAGTAGTGGTGGGGGTGTGTGTGAAGATATATTGTGGAGTGGCTAGTGGAACAGAGCAGTTTGCAGGATGGCTGGAGCAGCTCATGGGACCATGTAAGGTGCCCCTTAACACCCCACTGCCCCCCTCTTTCCATCAAGGCTGGGAGGTAAACTCTGCAGATAAACTTTTGAACTCTGGGGCTGCACTGATCAGGGACAGAGACTTTTGGGTTGTTGGACTTTGAGTGATTTTTCATTGCTGGACTCAAGAGACTTTTGGGGTTGTCATAAATATAAAGGGAAGAGTAACCACCTTTCTGAATACAGTGCTATAAAATCCCTCCTGGCCAGAGGCAAAATCCTTTCACCTGTAAAGGGTTAAGAAGCTAAGGTAACCTTGCTGGCACCTGACCCAAAATGACCAATGAGGGGACAAGATACTTTCAAATGTGGAGCCGGGGGCGGGGGGGGGAAGGCTTTTGTTTGTCTGTCTGTGTGATACCGTTGCTGGGAAGAGATCAAGGATGCAAGCTCTCCAACTCCTGTAAAGTTAGTAAGTAATCTAGCTAAAAAATGTGTTAGGTTTTCTTTGTTTTTTGGCTTGTAAATTCACTGTGCTGGAGGAAATGTGAATTCCTGTTTCTGTGTCTTTTTGTAATTTAAGGTTTTGCCTAGAGGGATTCTCTATGTTTTAATTCTGAGTGCCTGTAAGATTATCTTCCATTCTGATTTTACAAAGTTGTTCTCTTATCTTTTAAGAATCTGATTGGGTTTTTTGGGTCTTAAAAATCCAAGAGGTTGTGCTCATCTTGTTTATTCTCAAGCTTCCCCAGGAAAGGGGGTGTAAGGACTTGGGGGGATATTTTGGGGAAGTAGGAACTCCAAGTGGTCCTTTCCCTGTTCTTTGTCTAAAACACTTAGTCATGGCAGTGTTTTACCTAATCCAAGGGCAAAGACTTTGTGCCTTGGGGAAGTTTTAACCTAAGCTGGTAGAAATAAGCTTAGGGGGTCTTTCATGCGGGTCCCCACACCTGTACCCTAGAGTTCAGAGTGGGGAAGAAACCTTAACAGGGGTGTTGGACTTTTGGGACTTTGGGTGATTTTTTGCATTGCTGGACTTAAGACCCTAAGGGGAAAAGGACACTGCCAAACTTACTTGGGGGTGGGTCTTTTGCTCATGGTTTGTGTTATGAATCCTGTTGGTGGTGTTTCCCCAACATAATGCCGCATTGTTTCCCTCCTTTATTAAAACAATTTTGCTACACTCAGACTCTGTGCTTCTGAGAGGGGAAGTATTGCCTCTTATAGGCACCCGGGGGGTAGTATGTAATTATCCCAGGTCACTGGGTGGGGGCTCGAACCGGTTTTGCATTGCGTTATTGAAACGGAACCCCTAGATGCTGAATCCGGCCCTTGTTGCTGCCAACTCAGACGGGCAGCAGGGTTACATGTATGTGTACTGAATCACCATCTCAACAACACCATGAGATTCATAAATAATTGACTTTTAATTCTCCACTTATTTTTCAGATTATTGGTAATATTCTGCGATGACTACAGACAAAAATATGAAAGAAATCCTTCTAGATACACTGGACAATCTCTCAGCGGAAAAGGAAGGAGATCTTGAAAGATTTAAATTCAGCTTAGCAAATGCTAACTATGAAAAAAAAACAATCCCCAAAGGTCAGCTGCAGGAAGCTGATGATCGGTTGAAACTTGTAGACCTCTTGTGTAAATACTACAAGGAACAAGGTGCAGTGAATGTAGCTATATCGGTCCTTGAAAAGATCAATTGCAGAGATTCTGCTGATAAACTCAAGGAGGCAAGACAGAAAGGTAAGAACACCTAATGTTCCTGCAACTTCTGAATCTCTCCCCCTTTTGAACATTCCCTGAAATGGGTGCAGGAGGAACAGCTACAGTCTAATTATTAAAACTGGTTGGAAAATGGATCTATCTCATAAAAATGTTTAGATTTTGAAATTTTGTTTCATCCCAAATTGAGACAGAAACTTAAACTTTTGAAGTTTTTCAAGAATTGAAATGTTCCAAAAAATGCTTCATTTTAAAAAATGTGAAATGTTTTCATTTTGACATTTCTATTTTTTTATTAAATATAAATATAAGGTCTGGTCTACACTATAGCCATAAATTGGTACGTCACTACGTCGCTCCGGGCAACGTGGTCATGCTGACCTAACCCCCATGTACACAGCACTATGGCAGTGGTAGCCAACACAGCTACTGCCTCTCCGGAAGGCGGATTAACTAAGCTGACGGGAGAGCACTTCATTAAAGTGCTACAGTGGCACAGCATTGTAAGAGTAGGCATGCTCTGAAATGCAATACATTTTGAAAAGACAAGTCATTTCCCCAAAAAAAATCAAAATGTTCTGTTACAAAAAAATGTTGAAACAGGATGTTTCATCAAAATGCTCTTTCAACAAAAAATTCACCAGAATGGACATGTTCCCACAGAATGTTTAAATTTTGACAAACTGACATTTTCCTACAGAAAAATGTTCCATTGTAAAATTTTCAGCCAGGTCTACTAATAACAGATTCAAAAGTCTGAGTGCTGGAATGCATCAGTTTAGATCAATGTATGGTGTTTCATAGTGTCTGTGTGATTGGATGGCCTCTTTTCTTGCAGTAATTCTTACTGATATATCCACAGATTAGCTCCAAAGTAAATAAATAAAAACTCAAATATGGGTATTAAAAACCACAGAACAACACATCCAATACAGGTTAAATCTTACTCCACTGACAGGACAACTTCAGTATATTCCCTTTTGTTGTTTTATTTCTTGCTGTATTTACCCAATCTCACAAAACTGCATGTAGCCTTCCCCCAAGACAAGAAGTGTAACCCACTACACAGGGAACAAAATACAACAATACAGACCCCAACAACTGAAACACCACATCCAAAATAACAACGTAACAAATGGTGTCCTGTCCAGTTGGTGACAGGGAAAAAAGGGCTCTAGGGAAGGAAAGGGTTACGGTTAACTAATAAATGCTGCAACATGAATAATACAATACATTCCCCACCTCCTGCCATTCACTACTGCACCACAACCCCCAGCTCCCTCCCTGGCTCCTTACCCAGAGATTAGTGTAGCAGTACCACAAACATTGACCAGTTTAAAGAAAACGAAAGGGGACCTCTTATGATATTTTCACTCCTAGGTGGGGCAGTGCCCTCTCCTGGCACCTTGGTTTGGAGTCCTGTGGAGGCTTCAGTTGGCCGGCACCGGTTTGGTTCTGTGCCTCCCTGTACACGGGTCTCCACAGGGCTGGAACTGTCTGACCGTGCGCTGCATCCCACAGCAGTTCAAAGACCCCCTTTGTGTGGAATGGGAGTTAATCAGAGACTTCCTGAGCTGCTCAGTGTCTCCCCCAGCTCCTAATTCAGACAGCCCGAACTTTAAGCTAAAACTAGTCCCTTTGTCTCTGTGTCAGGCTGTCCCCTCCCACTGAGGGACTGAGTAGTCCTGGCTCATTACTGGCCCAGGAAACTGCCTCTATAAATCATTCCATACATCTCAAAACAGACTGAAAGGAATTTTACTGGACTATTCAGAAACATTCATCATTGTGGTGAGAATAAACTCTAGAATATAAATTTTCCTGCAAGTGGCCTGTGCCTGTTCTTGCTTGTGGGATTTAGATGCCTCTGCTGCAAGCTCTTGGAGTCTTAGCGAGAGGAGCATGAGCAGAGAAGAAATAGGGTGTTGCTATGCTGGAAGGCATTAATGGGTGCCATCAACTGATTGTTTGCTCTAGAGACAACTTCAGAGATTCTTCAAGCTGTTGCTGTGCTAAATAGATGGCAGGGACTTCATGTGTTTCCCTTTCTTGGGTTTCCAATTTCCCCAGAAATCAATAGGGTTCCTGCCATTGATGCGATGAGCATTCTCTGAAATTTTGGGATTGGCTGCTGTGACAGGGTCAGGCCAGATGGCTCCAGGAGAGTAATAGAAGGCAGATATATTAGCCCCAGGTTAAGTAGGTCCCTTTTCCCTGGGTAAGGTAACAAGGAAGGTTCCAGAACAATCAGGAACCTTCTGGAGACAATTAAGACCTACAGGCTGATTAGAACACTTGCAGCCAATCAAGAAGCTGCTAGAATCAGTTAAGGCAGGCTAATCAGGGCACCTGTGTTTAAAAAGGAGCTCACTTCAGTTTGTGGTGCATGTGTGAGGAGCTGGGAGTGAGAATGCATACTGTTGGAGGACTGAGGAGTATAAGCATTATCAGACACCAGGAGGAAGGTCCTATGGTGAGGATAAAGAAGGGGTTGGGAGGAGGCCATGGGGAAGTAGCCCAGGGAGTTGTAGCTGTCGCACAGCTGTTCCAGGAGGCACTCTAGACAGCTGCATTCCACAGGGCCCTGGGCTGGAACCCAGAGTAGAGGGCGGGCCCGGGTTCCCCCCAAACCTCCCAACTCCTGGTCAGACACAGGAGGCATTGACTTGCACTGTTGGTTCATGAAAACGGCCAAACTGAGGGCTGCTGTGAAGCTCCAAGGTGAGCAAATCCGCCAATAAGTGCAAGACCCACCAAAGTAGAGGAGGAACTTTGTCACACTGCCATGTACAAAAATTATCACATTACATACACACAGAAGGACAGAGAAATGCCTTTGAATTGAGTGTAAGACCTTTGCAATCTCGACTATTAATATTCTACTACTGAGAAGTCCACTAAGAACTGCTGTCTTTCAAAATGGCTGCCATCTCCATCAGGACTGAAGTCCAAGCCCACAGTCAGGTGGCTATTTTGAGAAGGGCATCTATTTACCATTGTTCTCAGAGGGACTGAAGTCTCAGGCTGCGTTTAACAAATATGGGTGTTGGTCTCCCCCTCATTGGAAAGTGGGTTTTTTGGCAGCACTGCCACGACAGCACTTTCATGCCTCAAGTGTAGACAAAGCCGTAGAGAAGAATGTTCTGCACCAGCCTCTGCTGGCAGAAACTTTCAGTTATGAAAAAAGGAAAAAAATAGTCCAGAATATTTATTTTCAAATATTACTTATTGCACTAGATTTACTCAACAGAGGAGAGAGTAAGGGGAAAACAGAGCTGTGTGTGGAAGGATACAAGAGGGGGAAATGAGAGAGAGAGAGAGTGTGTGTGTGTGTGTGAGAGAGAGAGAAGGGAAATGTGGGGTGCAGGAGGGAGGGTGAAACTGGAGCAAGTGTGTGCGAGTGACTATGGAGGACAGAAAGAAAGAGGGATTTGGAGTACGCATGCAGGGGATGTAGGGAGGTGAAAGAGGCAGGGAACTTTTGGCACAGTTTTGTGTGAATCTGGTGATGCAAAGCATTTGCTAACCTAGTCTGACTGGACCATGTGCTCTGAGTGTGGAGTAGGGCAGCCAGAGTATGCCATTGAACCTGGCCTTAAAAATTAAATTAAAAAAGAATATAAGGTTGATACTTCCTGTCTTCAGATTGGAGGGAGAGGATGGGAGGGATGAAGACACTAGTGCGCCATGAGAGCAGAGAGGGTGACAACAGTGGGAGGGAAGGGGGAGCTAGTTTTTTAAAAAGAAATTCCACAATATGCCACCCCCAAACTTGGGCTAGTAGCAGGATTTGAACTCTGTCTCTATAAATCCCGAGCTCAGCTGGGACCTCATCATTTGAGCTATACTCAGAAATAGTTTTTAGCTTTTGTCAAGGCTGAAGTATCAATATGTTACTCTCTTGAGCTGCTTACCTGTGGGGAAAAAAGGTCTGTTTAAAAAAATTCTGTCCTGCTTTATTACATATAAAGAAGGCTTGAGTGTTGAAAGTGTTTTTTGTTCAACTCAAGCTTCTGATATACAGTTGCAAGAAAAGATATCTTCAGAACTAATGCCCCTTTAATTATAGGACTGAGAGAGCTTCCAAACCACTTATCTGGGCTTGCAGTGAGACCCCTGCCAAAATTGGGGATGACTAAATGCAGCAGTATTGAAATTTCTAATTTTTTTTAAGAAGAAAACCCCCACTTTGTTTTGTTTTGTTCTTTGGTGGGTTGCTTCCAACCCTTTCAGATTGTTTGTTTGTTTTTTGTAATAATACCCAGCTCTAATATAGGGCTTTTAATTAGCAGATCTCAGTGCTCATATATCATTAAGAAAGACACTATGGCTATGTCTACATAGAAATGTAAGCCTAGGGTTCTTGGGATTTGAATCAGCTGACCCATGTCAGGGAACCCTGGGTTTGAGCACCTACACTACATTTTAACTCTAGGTTAAGGATTTTCTGACCTGTGCTTGAACCTAGGACTCTGGCACCCACATTGCAGTGCACAGACCTGAGTCAAAGTAACCCTATCCCAGTGTGCCTGGTGCCCCCCCATCCCAGAGTCAGCACTCTAGCCCTACAAATACGTTCCATTGTGAGGGAAAACTAATGCCCACCCTATCTGTTAACTGTAATGGTGCTGTTGATGGGATTCAGGTGCCCATAAGGACACATGAGTACATCAGCTGCATAATTAGCACCTTTGGCAGCTGTCTCAGTAGAATGACTGCAGTTTGTGAAGGCTTGATACTGAACTACCATCTAATCTGAGAACTGAGCTCTCCACCTCTAGGCTGAGTCACACTGGCAGGAAAATGCCCATGTGCTCCTGTTCTGTGGATAATTATGATGTCAGTCTCCAGGGCAGCCAAACTATTAAATGAAACTTTGCAATTCTTAATTTTTAAAAATGGGCTATTCAATGAAGCTGTTTTTGTTTGGGTTTTTTAATTTATTTTAGTCTGTTTTGAAGTTTGACATAAAATGACGGTATCAGAGGAAAAACACCCCCCCACCCCAGGCTGGCTGCTGCCGGCTACGGACTGCTGCAGTGTTTCCTCAGGGCTTGGGGTGAAGTGTGCTCCCCCCAAGGATCCCTTATCCCTGCCCCCACCGCACCCCGGGAGGCAGAGATAAAGGATCCCTGGAGTTTGTGGGGAGGTTTTGGGGCTGCTCCCACTCATTGCCCTCACAGCGCACACTGCCCAGGCATCTCTAAACATGCAGCCCCAGGGAGGGCAGGAGGGGCCTGGGAGCAAGGGTCAGAGAGTAGAGTGGGACCAAGTGGCTGCCCTGCAGGGAAGGGATAAAGCCGAACATCCTGGCAGCTGGGAGCCATCTCCCACCTCTCAGCTTTGTTCCTGGCAAGCTCTGCACAGCGGCAAGGAAGAGCTGGTGCCAAAGCCGCCGCCGCCACCACCATAGGAGTGTGATGGGGTGCACTAGGCCCAGAGGCCCCCTGCTGGAGGCCTCAGGATCCTGCCACTCTTGTCCCAGGAAAGGAGTAGTAGAGGAGTCCCCCAAACAGCCTAGAGTGGCTTCAAGGGACACAGCCAATCAAGGCACAGGAAGGCCATCTAAAAAGGACCTGCAAAGCCAGAGACCAGCAGTTCCTTGCTGGAGCCAGAGGACTGGCCAAAGGGAACTGCAGCACCATGGACAGATCCGTGCCAGCTGGGACTGGGGGAGCGAGAGAGCTCCTGGCTGGCTGCTGGCCCTGAACATAGAAGAGCCCTGAGCTAAGGGTGAAGCACTGGTGAAAGCTGGGGCTGTGGGAAAGTGACCTAAGGAACTGAAAGCAGCTTAGTTAAAGGGACACAGCGGCGTGTGGCAGCTATTCTTAGGGTCGCTAGGCTGGGACTTGGAGTAATGGGTGGACTTGGATGCCCCCCATAGGCCACTGGGAAAGTGTCCTATAATTGGACAGCCATAACTCTCAAGAAGGGGATCTGAACTACGTAGTGGCCTGGCTGAAGAGCTGGGGCCAGAAGGGCGCACAGAGGATGTATCTATTGCTGCCAGGGAGGAGCCCTGGGGCTACGGCCTGATACCAGGACTGGAGCTATTTAAAGACTGAAGATGCACCCGACCAGAAGGGGCACTCGTGAGAGGTCAGTGCCAGGCCGTTACAAGGAGGCTGCGGGGAAGGTTTGTGACTGGTTCCCACTTACCATCCTGACCGTGCCACAGCTGGGGCACCCCTGCACACGCAGCCCCAGGGGGCTCGAGAGCAAGGGCCAGAGAGCACAGTGGGAACAAGCGACTGCCATGCAGCAAGGAGGAGCTGGAGCTGCTACCACTGAGGGAGGCAGTGGGGGAATTTGGGGGACTGACTCCCACTCAGTCCCCTGACAGTGCGTGCAGCCCAGGCAGCCCTGCACATGCAGCCCCAGAGGGGCTGGGGGCAAGGGCCAGAGAGTGGAGTAGGGACCAGGCAGCTGCCCTACAGGGGGGGGAGCAGCAGGGCTCCCGGCTCAGCATGGCCAGGAGAGGGAAGACTCCCAACATCCCAGTGGCTGGGAGCTGCCTCCTGCCTGGCAGCTTTGCCCCTTGGTTCGGGGAAGCTCTGTGCAGCAGCGAGGAGGAGCCAGAGCAGGAGCTGCTGCCACTGGGAGAGGAGCAGGGATCATGTTAGGCCAGGCAGTAATGGAGCTTCCAGCTGCTGGGCTGGCTGCCTGCAGCGCTGCTCCTCTGCCACCTGGATCTCTGGGATACACCCAGAGGGCTTCCAGGACCCAAGGCAAGCCAGGGCTATGTGCACACAGGAAAGCAATAGGGCTTGGATCCTAGGTCCCAGCTTAACACGGGCTCAAACCCTCCAGCCCTGCAAGGTCCTGGGACCCTAGATCTGAGGCCTAGGTTAGCACAATTGGTGCATGGACACAAGGGGGGTTAGACTGAGCCCAGGCTTACATTGCTGTGTAGATATACTGTACGTGGCTACTCCAGTGGTTTTAAAAAAAAGAGTATTGCTTCTGGTGGCCGTTTTGAACAAGTCATTGAACCAGTGTCGCCAAAGAAATTCTCTTTGCCTGCCTCAACCGTGGGTTTACTAGGGAGCTTATTACTGCAGAGAGCCCTGAATGAATGACTTGTCCCAATGTCCTGAACTGCGTGATACTCTGTGATTTTTGTTGCACTAACATTCATGTGAAATTTCTCTTTCAGCTTTGGGTCCTCAGCAAACACCTGAAACATCAGCAAATGGTATGTGACATTCAATAAGGAATTGCATTGCGTAATTACCAGCGATTACCAGCATTAGGCTAGGTCAGCCAGACATTGGGTTTACTTGCAGAAATAATAAGTAACCCCTCAGAGCGCAGTCTCGTCAGATCACACCGGTTACGCAGGGTTGGATGGGGGATGAGGAAATGCATGGGGAGATCTCCAGGAAAGAATCAGGGGCTACAGAACATGGTGCTGGTGAGGAGGTGGAGCTCTTGTCTCAGGCAGGACTGACCCCGTGCAGCAGCATGATGCTGGAAGGCCCTCTCCTGCTAGGGACGCCATCTTTTAAACGAGTCAAAATAACGAGAGGTCAACATTTGGGGTCACTGAAAGTGCTGTGGGACTTTTTTAAACCTCTGAGCCCTGGACAAATTTTAAGTTATATTTAGTTCTGTTCTTTGCACCTAAATTCCCACTACTGTTTCAGTTATACCTGTCATTCTCCATCACTTTATTACAGAGTGCCATTGTGCACTGTTAAACACCTGACAGGTTTCATCCTAGATATAGCGACATTTCAGTAACTGATGAAGTGATTCTTATATATATAAATGCAGAGAGGGCCTGAGCCTACACTTTTTTTCTCATATGACTAATTTCAGTGGGGCCACTGATGTGAGTAAGGACTGGGCCCAGAGTTAATTTATATCAGGATACCTTATGATGAAACATGCACTATAAACTTACTGAAACAGTATTCTTGTTTAAATGGCGTTATTGTAGCATTACAGTAATATCTAATGCTTCATGTCACTAACTCAGCTTACAGGGTGAAGTACAGAGAACATATACGAAACAAATACAGCGCAATAAAAGACATGAACGCTCGTCTTGGTGAGAATGTGAAGCTAAACAGCAGATACACAAAGCTGATCATTGTAAAGGAACATCGTCACAAAAAGCAGAGAGAAAATGAAATAGTGGCCTCGGGACGGAGACATGAAGAAATCATATCTAACTACGCTAGTTCCATCACCATAGGCCATTTATTTGAACTTGATGAAGATGGACAATTACCACAAATTGTCATGTTGCTGGGACCTGCAGGAATTGGAAAAACACTGACCGCAATAAAGATCATGTTGGACTGGGCAAATGGAGAACTGTATCAGAGCAGGTTTGATTATGTTTTCTACATAAATTGTAGGGAACTTAACTTTGTCAGTGAGCAGGGAAGTATTGAAGATTTGATCTTCAAGAACTGTGCAGATCAAAATGCACCAACTAAAGAGATTTTGATGAATCCAGAAAAACTCCTGTTCATAATTGACGGTTTTGATGAACTGAGATTTTCCTTTAATCAGTCAGAAAGTAATTTCTCCTCCGATCCCTGTGAGAAGCAGCCAGTGGAAATTGTACTGAGCAGTTTATTTAGAAAAAAAGTGCTTCACAAATCCTACTTAATAATTACTACAAGGCCAACAGCTCTGGAGAAACTCAAGCAGTGTTTGGAAGATGGACACTGTGCAGAACGTTATGCAGAGATTCTGGGGTTTTCTGAAAATGCGAGAGAAGAATATTTTCACAAGTTCTTTAGGAATGAAGAACAAGCAATAAAAGCCTATAACTTTGTAGAAGACCGTGAAATGCTCTTCACCATGTGCTTTATTCCCATTGTGTGTTGGATCATCTGCACTGTTCTGAAACAACAGATGGAAGCAGGTGAAGATCTTGCACAAACTTCAAGAACAGTCACTGATGTCTACGTGCTCTATCTCTCCAGTCTGATGAAAGGTCACAGCAGTAATTCAAAGCAACAGATACGAATGAACTTGAAGGGACTTTGTTCCTTGGCTGCAGATGGAGTAAGGAGGCAGAAAATACTCTTTGAGGAAGATGAAATCAAGCAGCATGGCTTACATACAGCTGACTCTCTCTTTCTGAATGAGAACATGTTTCAGAAAGACCTTGACTGTGAACATGTCTACAGCTTCATTCACTTGAGTTTTCAAGAATTTTTTGCAGCTTTATCTTGTGTGTTGCAGAAAGAAGAAACAACAGTGGAAGATTCAGAAACTATTCTGAAAAATGTCAAGATGTTGTTGAAAAGGGATACAAACAATGGGAATTCTTCCACATTAACTGTGCGATTCCTGTTTGGTCTTTTAAATGATGAGAGAAAGGAGGAGAGGGAGAAAATGCTTAGCTGTAAAATTTCACCACTAATTAAAGAAACTTTAGTAAAGTGGGTTGAAGAAAAACCCACTGTGTCATTGTTCAGTTATGTTGGTAAGAAGATGACTTCCTATCTTGAGGCGTTTCACTGTTTGTATGAAATTCAAGAAAAAAAAATTGTGCAGAGTGCAATGAATCGTTACACTCGGCTAATATTAACTGAGCATAACTTTACCAAAATGGATGAAATTGTTCTTTCATTCTGTATAAAGCATTGCTGTAAACTGGAGTCACTTTGTCTAAGACAGTGTTCCTTTCAAGATGAAGATATGCCAAGACCGTGCAAGCAGCCACGTCGGTGAGTGTTGTCTGAGCTCCAAAAACACCTACATAATTTAAGTAGTAAAACATACATTATTTTTTAAATGTTGATTCCCCATGCCCTAGATTTTCGTAGCTCACAAATGGCTGAATGACCCACCATAAAAGTGACAGAATTTTAAGACTGTGGCAGGACCACTCCCCATTCACCCAAAATCTTAAAAGCATAGAAATAAGAAGTTAAGGGGAAAGACTTGTGCACTCCTTTCCACCTTCTTGTTGCCTACACACTGTCAATAACATACTACAGTGCTCCATTTGGCTTTCATCTTCATCTCCAACAGCTACCAAAAGCAATATGTACCCCAACTTCATCACACTTACACTCCAGTGCAAAACCTTATGGAGTGCTAGAGTGTGAAGCTGGAGGGAAGGAGAGATGAAGATGTGGATGGCTGTGATCTTTTTAGAGTTGGAGTGGGTGTTTCAGAGTCAGCAAGAGAAGGGGAGGAGAAAGGAGAGGAGTGGGCATGAGGTTAGACAGGATGGCAGCAGAGGGGCCAAGGTGGTGGAGGGGATGACTGTAGGAGGTAGATAGGGTGAGGATGGAGGGAAGGCCCAGGTTAGGGCAGATATGGTCAGAGGTCAGGAGGAGGTTACAGTTGGGGGACCTATATTTATTTGTGCTGGTGGGAGGAGAGGGGAGATTGTGATGGAGTAGGTAGAGTAGGTGGGAATTGTCGAGGGGTGAGGGAAAACAAGAAACGGGAAATAAGGTAGAGGGAGTGGAGAGGAGGAGCCACAGCTGCTCTGATGCAGAAGTGGGGGTGTGATGAGAACCATGGGTGATTGACAAGATTATGAACAGCAACAACAAAAACTCAAACAAAAAAAAAGAATTTCGTTACAAAGTTCTAACAAGTCTCTACAGAGCTCGTGCAAACTGAGATTTTTTTCAAGGTCTTATAACTTGGCCATATTTTATGTGGATTTTCATGTGACAGGGAGGCACATTTTGCTATTCCCAAGGACCACCCTCCTGCCAAATTTAAAGTCCCTGCTCCAAAACATGGGGGAGCTAGAGCCTCTCAGGGAAAAGGTTGCAAGAATTGTTTTTAACATGGGCAGAACAACCTAGTTCTCAGAAAAGGCTGAACCATTTCAGTGGCAACTTTCACAGTATTCAGCCCGGTGGAAACACCAAGCATGGAAAATTTCAGTCCAAATGGTTAAAATTTGGCAAAGTTATAAGCAACTGAAAACAGGGACGTTTCCAGCAATCGTAATAATAGGAATTGCTACCAGCTCTGCCTATAATAATCTTTCTAGAAGCTCTGTCTGTTATAATGTATAGATATGGTGCCTTGCACTCTGGGATCCTAATCCTGGCTGGGACCTACAGGGGCTACTGTACTGCAAATAATCAATGATAATCACTTTGGTTCTGTGCATTAGATCCCACCTAGGGGAATCCAGTGAATTGTTTTAACTTTCTTCTTTTTGTTGTTTCACTGACTGGAGAGTGGTAAAAAAAAAAATTACTTTTTGACCTACGGTGAAGATCTCTATTTTTAGAGTGTTCTAATCCAGGAATCTCTTGTCCAATTTACTTGAAATTTGATAGAAAAATTCAACCTCCACCACAAACCTAACCAGACTACTCAGCTGGTGTTTGGCACCCACTTCCCCTTTGGGGAAGGAATATTTAAGTTGTTCAGGGTAAATGTTGGATCTCCAATGTGGCTTAAGCCCTAGTAATGTGCCAGAGACAGTAATTTGCACATAGGCAGTGGGTCTGGGGCTCTTTCTAAGCCAGAGTGTTTGCAGGCAGCCTGATGTGTAACTCAGTTTTGTTTTTCCTAGTTTTCAGATTGTGACGGGTCATATAGGCCCCACCCTGGCAAGGAGGAGATTAATGAGGGCCTGTGGATCCTGTTAGTCTCACCCTATTACAGCTGCAGCAGATGTTAGGTGTGGAGCTTGGAGTTAAAAGGAGACAGCCTAGCTCTGTTGGGTGCTGTCCAGGAAGTAGATCAGAGCCCTGCTTCCCTCTGTGAGGGAAGCCTGTTTACACCCAGGAGTCTGAGGTAGCTTTCCAGTTGGACGAGCCTCAAAGTGGATGGGACGACTGCCGACTGGGACCTGGGGGACTGACGAAAGGACTGGCTATTGGAGACAGGCTCAGAGTAAAAGGGTGGGGTCCTGCTGTGGGGCGGCCCTATTAAGAGTTTTTGGTTTTCTTATTTTGGGACTTTAATACCTCGGAAGGCGAGAACTGAAGAGTGGCTTAGCCAGAGGGCTAAAGCACCACTGCCCTGGACCTCCCAAGAGGCAGTGGCTGATCATTGTAGGCCCTGAGGCAGGGTGCATCATGTTCTGGCAGGCCATGAGGCTGCTGTGGAGCAAACCCTGTCACACAGAAGATTAAGTGACGCCACTCTCCACACTTTACAAGGGTACAAGGCAGAGCTGGGCAAGCTTAACTCTACATTAAAAAACTTCTAGACAGCTAATATCAGTTATACACAGGTACTGTTTGTGGAGCATTTTATAGCATTTTAATCATAACCATAAATCTGTGCACCAAGCCAAATGTGCCAACATATCTGCCACTGCCAAAATGCCACCACTAAATTTGAGGGATTTTTTCATCAAATGCCACTGTAGTATGGGGGCAAACTTCCCAAGGCTCAGAAAAAGAAACTCAGGATTTCAAACCTCACCTCTTCTAAGTGCTGCTTGTATCCCTATGCAATTCACTACCCTTTTCATTGACCAAGGTCATGAGCCCCAACCTTACAAGGCAGTTCCCAAAGACCTGCTGAACACACCCAGTTGTTTAAAGAAACTGGCAGAGAGATTATGCAGGGTCACTGCTGGGACAGACCTCAGCTCTTTCACATAACAAACCCCAATTCTATCCGCTGAAGCATACTGCTTTTCAGGTTTGCTACAGAAGCAAAACTTGTGTAAACGCCTATAAACTACATTCCTCTCCCCAAGCCATGGATAGAATCCAAGGTTCCTGATCAACAATATTCTACTGCTGATTAGTAAATACTTGAGGAACCCTCTGTGAAAGTGTTTGTCAAGACCTCCTCCAGTGGCTGGTTTACAAGAGTGCTAGCAATTACTCCTGTATTCTTACTCCTAGTGGTTGGACTTTGGCGCCAGGAACTGGAGCTAGGGTCAGAGATGGAGTCAGAGGATGAATTAAGGGTCGAATCCAGAGCCAGAGTCGGGGATAGGGCAGAGAAGCAGGGATTTGGAACAAGGCAGAAAAACAGGAACCAGGAGTGGAGGACGATCTGGGATAAAGACAGCAGGAACCAGGAACAGGCTGGGAGGCAGGAACAGGCAGGAAGACAGGGCTAAGGAATCAGGCATGTAGGCATGGTCCAAAGTGGTAGCCAGCCAGGGATCCGACAACTTGCATCCTTCTGGCTTAAGTAGTCCGTCCGAGCTAATTGTTGGGGCTGGATGTCTCCCCCAATCAGGAGCTTCATGGACAGAACCCTTTCTGAACTAAAGCTCCTCCAGCCCCCTTCTCCACTGATTCCAGTTGTAGCCTTTTGTCTTATATTCGTAGGGTCTGATGGATGGCCAATTCATCATCAGTAGAGGAACGGTTCCTGCTGGAGTTTTCCAGTAGAGAATCTCAGAGCCCTCTTTCATCTTGTGATTCTGACTGCACCTAACACTCTGCATGTGCATGAAAGTATCAATCCTCTTTTTCCTTACTTGTATTGTATCCCCCAAGAATATTGTGCAACACTGTTTTTCATAGGTTGTTTATAGTTCCTTTTATTCTCATTAGTATCTATGCACAATGTGTACCCTGCGGTTACGGCACATGTTAGAAAAATGTGACTACAAGGTATCTTGTAGTAATTTACTGTATATTGCTGTTAATTTTTCTCACTACCACCCATTGGCTCATCTTTTCTCAGAATCTTGGGGCATCAGGTCATTCTTTGGTCACTTACTTATGTCAAGCATTTCTTAAGCCTAAGGCCTAATATGGCTAAGCAGACATTTTATTTCGGCCCTACTTTACTTAGATACCTAAATATATATTGATCACTTCTAAATACTTATCAGTGTTATATTTCTATGATCCTTAAATCTATTTAGCATGCAATGATAATATATAACATGCTATATGAGTTAATCATAACATCACACAACATACAATGAATAGGGTTGCCAGGTGTCCGGTTTTCAACCAGAATGCCCAATCAAAAAGGGACCCTGGTGGCTCCAGTAAGCACCACTGACTGGACCATTAAAAGTCCAATCAGCAGCACAGCGGGGCTAAGGCAGGATCCCTGACTGCCGTGGTTCCGCGCAGCTCCCGGAAGCAGTGGCATGTCCCCCCTCCAGCTCCTATGTGTAGGGGCAGCCAGGGGGTTCCGCACGCTGACCATGCCAGCTCTGCTGTTCCACGGCCAGTGGGAGCTGTAGGGTAAGTGTCAACACACGGGATGGTGTGCAGAGCGATCTGACCACGCCTCTGCATAGGAGCCAGATTGGGGACATGCTGCTCCTTCTGGGAGCAGCCTGAGATAAGTGCTGCCCAGAGTCTGCATCCCTGACCCCCTTATAGAATCACAGAATATCAGGGTTGGAAGGGACCTCAGGAGGTCATCTAGTCCAATCCCCTGCTCAAAGCAGGACCGATCCCTGACTAAATCATCCCAGCCAGGGCTTTGTCAAGCCTGCCCTTAAAAACTTCTAGGGAAGGAGATTCCACCACCTCCCTAGGTAACGCATTCCAGTGTTTCACCACCCTCCTAGTGAAAGTTTTTCCTAATATCCAACCTAAATCTCCCCCACTGCAACTTGAGACCATTACTCCTTGTTCTGTCATCTGCTACCACTGAGAACAGTCTAGAGCCATCCTCTTTGGAACCCCCTTTCAGGTAGTTGAAAGCAGCTATCAAATCCCCCCTCATTCTTCTCTTCTGAAGACTAAACATCCCCACTTCCCTCAGCCTCTCCTCATAAGTCATGTGTTCCAGTCCCCTAATAATTTTT